TTTTAAATTTTTAGTAACAAGCGGTGGGAGTCACGGCTTCGCAGTCACATACCTGAAGATCTGGCTGAGAAGCTTTACAAGATTTTCCTTCTGCAAAAGCCTTGCCATGTTCATAGTCAAAGAGCTGGCCTCCTGGCAATCGATGATCTACATCTCTGTACTCAATGCCTCTGTAGTCTGTATCCTGCCTCCCAAGGAAGTCCAGTTCACTTTTTTCCTTCACTCCAAGTCCAGATGATTCAGACACTAGCTGTTCAGCCAAAGAGAGCTCCGGATTGGAAACAAAGGCCTGTGAAGGGTTCTCTTGGTCCTGAAGAGCAGGAAGAGGACCGCAGCTATTTTTGAACTCTGCTGAAGATTCACTCTCAAGATTGTGTCCTTCAGTTTCTTCTTCTCTGGCTCTTGGCTCTGACTGTGGAAACTCCTCATTCTGCATACCCATGGAAGACCTCTCTCTAATAGCAAGAACAGGCTTCTCTGTATTGCATTCTCTTTCTTGCAGAGAACCTATAGACTGACAATGCTGGTAGTCAACAATACTAACTTCTGCCAAGCGGGTTTCCCTGTCTACAAACTCCAGAGATGGTGGGATATCTCTACTCCTAAAATCCTGATCAGCTTGGGGTTTTGGCCTGTTTCTGAAGTTTGGATGTGGTACATCCCTATCTCTGAAGTCTAAGTCAGCTGTACCCATACCTCTCAAGTCTACATCAGGAGTATCTCTTTTCCTAAAATCTGAATATGGCTGGTCTCTACCCCTATACTCCTGTTCAGCCATATCTCTTCCCCTAAAGTGTGGATGAGATCCATCTCTATTTCTGAAATCTAAATCAAATGTTCCCCTTGCATGAAATTCTGCAGAGGCATCATCTCTGCCCCTGTAGTTCATAGTATGAGCCTCCCTATCTCTGTAGTTTGTACGGAATGCCTCTCTGTTTCTGAAATCCATTGGGGGAATGTCTCCTCCAGTATAATCCACTGACTGCCCTTCCCTATCCTGGAAATCTCCAGGATACATCTCCCTGCCTCTGAAATCTGGAAGGAGTGGCACCCTGCCTCTGAAGTCCAAATGTGACTCATCTCTGTTCTGGAAGTCAGAAGGTGGGTAATCTCTGCCTCCAAAATCATGCAAATGGCCCTCCCCACCTCTGAAGTCACTACGTGGTCCATCTCTACCTCCAAAGCTGAAAGCAGGTTCCTCTCTGTTGGAAAACTGAGGATTGAGGATGCCTGGGACTCCCTGGATATCAAAAGGAAGTGATTCTCTGCCAGAGAAGTTGCCAGAGTGTCTTTCTTGAGCAAGACTATCAAGGGGAGGAGGAGAGTAATCCCTGTTCCACCCGGGAGCAAATCTTTCTTCTTGGCTCCCACTGTAGAAATAAAGACAGTGTTATTCATAATGTCCGAGTTTGAAATCAGAAAACATCAGTATGTCTTCTCTAATTTTTTTACAGTGCTGTTCAACAGTTAGATCCGCAGAAGATAGTGGTGTTTGGTAGCATAAGAGCAGGTAGTGTACGACAGATGTGATAAGTAAACTTGTGCACTCTCATTTCACCATAATTTCCAGAAGAACTCAACATGGAATACCTGAAATAGCAATGTGTTAATGAAGGCAACAATACATATTGTTTCATAGTATATGCAACCTGGAACCTTTAGAGAGCTGTTTCCAAAACGACTCTACATTTGACTTTCATGCTTCTTGAATCAGTGGAATAGTCATCAGTTCAACTTCTACTACTATCTTAAAAGGGTCCTCACTTTGGTTCTCCTGTTATTGCTCATCTGTTACTTCATGTATCTTCCAAGGTATGACAACTATTTCTAGACCATATTATCATATGTCAAAAATACAATTACCAGTCATAGGTGGAGGAATGCTATCCACAGCCTCTTCACTTATATTGTTTGGTTTTTCAATACTGTGTACCAAAGTCCAGCACTGAACAATACTCTACTGTAATTACATGTTCTACCAGGAATGCATAATGGTATAGAAAGTATTATCACATTACCTTCTTTATTCTCAGTTCGTCTGAAACTTATTTATTATGAAGAACATGAGTATGGGAATGACAGATTGTTCAAATTTAATATTTATTTTAAAGTCAGTCACAAAAATCAGAATTGCTATTTATTTATATTGTTCTACAAAGCTGAGACTGCAATATTCTGAAAAATATTTCAACCAATAACTATCTATGTTCAAATATGAAAAGAGAGCTTAAAACAAGGACTATTTGATCATTTTTCCCATGTATTTAGCAAAAACATGGAGATGGAAACTGTACTGTGTCCACAGCCCTTTATTTCTGGCACATAAACATTCTGGACAATTCAATCCTCCAAAAACCCATTTCTGTTGTTGTGTGGTTGTTGTTTTTAAGTTTATAAACTGGTATATAACTTCTAGTGAGTAATTTAAAGACATATGGAACAAAAATGTTTTTAATGAGTCCTCTTCTGCATTCTACTTAAGTCACCCCTGAAGCAAAGTATTGTTCAGGCAACTGTTTTACTCCCCAAACTAATGCACATCTATAATTGCCAAATATCTTTGGTGTTACCCTTATAAAGCTATTAAAATATGATAGATTTGTCAACTTGTATATGTTGTACAAGTATGATTTCACATTAAATTACTTACCGAAAAGGACCAATTCTGTTAGCCGGTCGAGGATTTCCCCACATTTTGTATGTGATTGACAACCACACTGTTCTTTCTACTGCTTAATTGCAGAATCTATGAGATAAAATACAAGACATTTTAATTATTTAACTCCATGAGTCAAAATTAGGCATCATCCTTTAAGACAACAGGCACCACACATTTCTACTGTTAAAAAATCTTAGCCAGTTGGAATCCCATATGGCAATGGTTCTCAACCTTTGGATCCTCAGGTGTTTTGGCCAGTATACCAGTGTTAGAATTTCTGGGAACTGAAGGCCAACATTTGGGGACCCACAGGTTGAGAACCACTGCCATAAGGTACATTCAAAAGTGTAGGAAAAGGCTAGTCTGCAACAGAGGGAATAAAATATTGTTTATTATTTATTTATTTCCTATATTTAAACCCCACCCTTCTTCTGCCCGAGGGGGTACACAGGGCGGCTTCACAAAAGCACAATGCAGTGCCAACATCATAAAACAATCAGCAGTACATTAAAATATTAAAACAGCAATTAAAACAATTGATTAACACACTTCTATTAAAATCAAAATTTAGTATATAACCTTACAAAATGTTCAGAGAAGTAGGTTTTACTAGAAGCTTGGTAGCAATCTTTCTGAACTGTTATTTTCATTACCTCAAAAACGCAATAATTTGATCATATGCATGGATTTTTGAACTGTTAACTATGTTAGTTTTTAGATAAATGCACACTTCAAAATTAATTTTAATCCATTTCTATAAAATCTAAATAGGTAAACTTAAAATATCAGGCAAGGTTTCTAGGGCAAATGCTGTGATTTAAGAAAAACAAGCACTACGTGTGGTTTTTGATGCATATCTGAAAAATTAAACTTAGGGAAAAGATCTCCTCAAATGCTCTCAGGCTTGGATTAAGACTTTTAGAGGCTCTAAGCCATTAAAAGATTTTGGTGTCCCCACATATGGATGTGAGCACTGGACCATAAGGAAGGCTGAGCGAAGGAAGATAGATACTTTTGAACTGTGGTGTTAGAGGAAAATTCTGAGAGTGCCCTGGACCGCAAGAAGATCAAACCAGTCCATCCTCCAAGAAATAAAGCATGACTGCTCACTGGAGGGAAGGATATTACAGGCAAAGATGAAGTACTTTGGCCACATAATGAGAAGACTGGAAAGCTTGGAGAAGACAATGATGCTGAGGAAAATGGAAGGAAAAACCAACCAAGGGCAAGATAGTATTCTTGAAGTGACTGGCATGACTTTGAAGGAACTGGGGGTGGCCACAGCCAACAGGGAGCTCTGGCATGGGCTGGTCCATGAGGTCACAAAGAGTCAGAAGCGACTGAACAAATAAACAACAACAAAACATATATATATTATTCAAATATCAACAATAATAAAATTTTATTTTTTACTTACAGTAAGATGGAAAATACTGTTTCTTTTTATATACTTCCACTTTATTTAATTTGAAAAGTCCTCCCCTATTTTTTCTAACTGCAAAGTCTTTTACTGTAGGAACCTCATTCAGCTGCACCCTTTTTGTGGAACCAGATTCAGCTGCACCAATTGCAGTCTTGCACCATATGGTCTGTGGTAAATCCAGCAATGGAAAATTTCTGTGGTGCCCCATTTCCCTTGATGCCATAAGCACATGCTTATTTTGCTTAATGATTAATCCAGCCCTTAATATTCTGTCTATTAACTTGCTCTTAAACATAATCCAGACAAGACAGAAGTGCTCCTGGTCAGATCTGGGAATAGAGATTCAGCCTGTGTTAGAGGGGTCATACACCCCCTTAAAATGCAGGTTCGCAGTTTGGGAGTACTCCTGGATTTGGCTCTGAACCTGGACACCCAGGTATCAGCAGTGACCAGGTGTGCTTTTGAACAGTTAAAGTCAGTGCACCAACTGCATCCATTCCTGGAGATGTCAGATCTGGCCACAGTGGTCCATACCTTGGTCATATCCCAGTTTGGACTACTGTAATACACTCTACATGAAAGTGCTCAGAAACTTCAATTGTTCCAAAGAGCATCAGCCAGACTGCTAAGTGGGACTTCAGGGAGTGTACAACTCTTCTGTCGGAATAGCTCCACAGGCTGACAACACACATCCATGCACAATTCAAAGTGCTGGTTTTGACCTACAAAGCCCTATATGGCTCTGGTTCAGGTTATCTGAAGGACTGTATCTCTTTCTATGAACCTGGGAGGTGTCTACAATCTACTGCGGAAGGCCTTCTCTCAGTCCTACCATCCGCTCAAGCGTGTTTGGCGGGAACAAAGGAGAGAGCTTTTTTGGTGGCTGCTCCTAGACTGTGGAACTTCCTCCCAAGGGAGACTAAGATGGCTGGTTCCTGCTGGCCTTCTGCAGGCAGGTCAAGACATTTTTCTGCCAACAGGCATTCGGAAAAGGATAAGGGGCAGGCTTTGGGGATGTTGGACGGGACTGTGGGGTATGAGTTTTAAAGGCCATTTTAGGTGTATTGCTTGTATTTAAATTCTGTTTTACCACACTGTTACTATTAAATTGTTTTTTGAACTTGTGTATTGCACTTTTTAAACTTCTCTAGTGTGGGATTGTCAGCCACCTTGAGTGCCCACAGGGAGAAAAGCAGGGTATAAATAAAGTTAATTACAACAATAATGATAATAATAATTCTAGTCAGAGAGGGAAAGAACCTTAAGAAAGAGAAGAGAACACACATTTAAAATACAGTACACTAACTGCAGAATCAAAGTATTCAGGTTGCCATTCATCTTCATGCATTACTGCATGCATTACAAGTTGTTTAGTTACTTATTTTCAAACTACACTCACTTTTACTAGCCCTTTCAAGAAATTTTGAAATTGTTTACATTTTAAAAATTAAATTTCCATTTGTTCAATACTTTCTTTAAAATAATTTATTTTAATCAATCCTGTTAATTTATCTTTGGAACAGGGTGCAGACCATCATTAACAATTTAGATAAAAAGAGTTTCAAAACCGGACTTGACTCTTCATTTGAACCTGATTTTAAAAAAACTCAGCTCCATGAAACAAACTCAAAGATTGCACTGAAATTATTAACTGCCACATTTAAAGACTTGTAGGTATATCAAGATGAATAATTGTTATGAACTTTCATTCAAAGTTAATGTGGTTAAAAATTATTTTAATACTGTTTTCATTTGTTTTTATGTTAGGCTGCCATTATAAAAAATGAAATAAATTGTAAATTGTTTGATTATTTAGCTAACCTCAGAACAAAAACGAACAAATTAAAACAACCTTTTTGCTTGGAGGGATAGGTGGATTTATGAGAGAAGGGGGTTCTCATAAATGAAAAGTCCAATCAAGGGATACGGGAGGGGAAAAGCTCTGGAACCTTTGCTCACAACTTCCAGCTATGTAAAGCAGCAGAGTTGGGCCTTAGGAGTCCAACAGTCTGTCAAAATAAGAGTCCCTAGTGCAGGACATATACAACCCCTTCTTTGCGTTCCTCCAGGATGAATTCTGTGCCTCTTCTTTCTAGTCTGCGAATAGTTACATTTTTCAGTTCTTGTGGGTTTTTTCGGGCTATATGGCCATGTTCTAGAGGCATTTCTCCTGACGTTTCGCCTGCATCTATGGCAAGATTCCTCAGAGGTCTGCTGGAGCTGGGAAAAAGGGGTTTATATATCTGTGGAATGACCAGGGTGAGACAAAAGGCTTTTGTAAGTTGGGCTAGGTGTGAATCTTTTCAACTGACCACCTTGATTAGCATACAATGGGCTGACAGTGCCTGGAGCAAACTCTTCTTGAAAGGTGATTAGATGTCCCTGCCTGTTTTTCTCTCTGCTGTTTTAATTTTAGAATTTTTTTTTTAGAATTTTTGATACATAAAAATGCAAACAGGATAATCTTTGTATATAAATAAAAAGACAGAAAACAGAAACATTAATATAGATAAAAGGGTATTTAAATCTGAGGACATTCCAATTTTGCCCTTAAGCTCACAGTACTCAAGCAAAAATATTTCAGTGGCAGAAAGACTAAGAGACCAGTGAAGTGGAATTTACTAATAAATTTTAATGCATTATAAAAATATACACTTAACTCTCCTAGTGCAAATGTTCCTTGCCCAGTTGGTATGATGAAACACATCACCAAAATTATCCAAAAAATACAACCACAAATTCAGAATATACCTTATATATAAAAAAATTAAAACACAAGGAGAGCAAATTAAAGGAAACAACAGGTGAGGCTAAAAAGCCATTTTTCCTTTAGTGCAGAATCTTAAAATGTCAAACCACTGCATCCTTTTAGAGCCCTGCTTTTAATCTACAAAAATAATAAATGAGACCATTAGATGCTTATTTTACTTATATTCCATCTTCCTCTAGAAAGTATGAAACGTTTTTATTTCAATGTACTGTCGAAGGCTTTCGTGGCTGGAATCACTGCGTTGTTGTAGGTTTTTCGGGTTATATGGCCATGTTCTAGAACAGCGGTTCTCAACCTGGGGGTCGCGACCCCCCAGGGGGTCGTTTGGCCATTTCGGAGGGGTCGCGAGGCCGCCTCCTTAGGCCCCGCCCACAAGGCTGCGAGCCCTCCCTGGGCGCCTTCGCAGCCTCGCCATTTGGCGAGCCCGCAGGGGAGCCCAGGAGGGGCTCGCGCGAAGGCTGTCTCGGCTCCCTCACCGCTTCACCAAATGGCGAGGCCGCGAGGCAGCCGGGGGCTCCTTTGCGGCCTCGCCATTTGGTTCATTCCATCGTTGATGGAGTTCAGAATGCTCTTTCATTGTAGGTGAACTATAAATCCTAGCAACTACAACTCCCAAGTGTCAAGGTCTAATTTCCCCAAACTCTACCAGTGTTCACATTTGGGCAGATTGAGTATTCTTGCCAGGTTTGGTCCAGATCCATCATTGTTTGAGTCCACAGTGCTGCCTGGATGTAGAGAGAAATACAACTCCAAACTCAAGGTCATGCCACCAAACCCTTCCAGTATTTTCTGTTGGTCATGGGAGTTCTGTGTGCCAAGTTTGTTTCAATTCATTGTTGGTGAAGTTCAGAATGCTCTTTGATTGTAGGTTAACAATAAATCCCAACAACGATA